GCATTTTTAATCACAAGATATTACCATTTTAAAATTTGTGTTCAGGTGATGCAATACTTTTGAGCGCCACTGTATATGACTTTGCCCAAAACTTTAAATCTAAATAATTAATTTTAATAAATACTATATAATTTATATATAATTATTCAAAAAATTGATACAATGTTAACTTTTGTATTGTTTAAAAGTTTTTTTGTGAAATTTTAAATTATATTCTCCATAACCTAAAATAATAAATATAATGGTCGGTATTGTATGGCATTGCCCCAATCTTTGAAGTTTAAAATAATAAATTTATTATATAAATTATATAATTAATTATTTCAGCTCAAAGCTAACTCATGCATAACGTTTAATCTTTAATTTACTGTTTTAAAATCATATTCTATATAATCTAATATATCAAATTTATGTATTACAAGAGTTCGCTCGAGCATATTCAGTGTTGCCCGAAGCTTTAAAGTTCTAGATCGGGTGATTTTATATAATGTGATATAAGCATGTCCGCTATGCTGGAAAGAATGGTAAAAGAACTTAATTATATACGATATTATGTTTCATTATTGTAAAAAATCATATTGTTTAAGTGATATTTTAGAAATATTTTCTTTTTGAAATATTCATATTGGAAATTTAGATCGCGAATTAATCGAAGAATTACAACATTACGTTAAAGAGCAACAATAGTCATGTATATTAAGTATTATTAGCAGGATGCAATATTTAATAAAAGAAATGCATGATTTTTGTAGATAGGGAAAAAAAATACTTTCATTATTAGCGACTATACTACAATTTTGTCAATGAATATCTAATTTTAAGGGATTATCTTTATTTGATTCTTATCTCACTTTATGAGCAAGAGTGTAATTTCTCCAATCACGGATCGTAGAGCGGACAAAGCGCAGTAATTTCAAATTTATTGACCGAGTTTGATCGAGTCGTTTCATAATTTTAATACATCGTCTAAAAGATGTAAAGCTAACTTTGTTAATATTTTGGTAGGTAATTTTATCTATTTCCAAGTTTTTTTTAGTGATTTGGTTCGATCCATATGATCGGATCGCGATCCAAATCGTCTCTGAGATAGTTAAAATCCCTAGATTTATATTTCGTCATAATAAGACACCCAACTGTCATTGTTGAGGTCGCATAATCCAAAAGACTACCCAATTTTGGTTGGCCTCAAATCGTGTAGAAAACGTTATCGTATTAAAATAAAATTGTGGAAGTGAAATTCAAGAAGTGATCTAAACGGAACACCTTTGCGTCGTTTAACTGTTCAGTATTATTTTTTTGATTTCATTTCATTTATTTTATCCGCCTAATAATTGTTTAAGTTTTTGGCAGTGCTATAAATTCTGTCGTATAAAAAATTGGAAATTACCTATCAGTAAGAATTTGTGTATTTTTTTTAACAGATGATATCTATTTGCTTCGTTTACAATATCACTTTATGTATCAACCATATAACGGCTGTACTTCTCCACATTGTATTTACGGCGTTGTCCTCGCCAACGTCCATATCATAATATATATTGTGTAGAGTAGCAATAATATGAAATAATGGGTTAAGGTGAACATGGAAATACTACATGTAACTTTATTACACTCACCTCCTCACTGTGAAAAGTATAATGTTTCTTGCTCCCCAATTTGATCTACAAAGTGTTTCCAAAATAAAGGTTTCGGATATTTGGGCGAAACTGAAAGTTCAATGGGCGGAAAGTTTCGGATTTGAGAAAATGGAACACTCGAAAATATATAGTCATGTAAAAAAAATTCGTGCTATGCGCTTTTGCTTTATTTTATGTTTTGTTAAAAAATACACAACAAATACTGCACATATTTTAGAAAACAATTTTTTTTATTATTATGTAAAATAAAATAAACACAGCAGAAAAATTACTGCGGAGAAAATCCTGACGTCATGATTATATAATATAAATGGATTTATATAAAGTTGGCTCATTTTCCCACATCAAATCAAACCGCAAAAACAGTAGGAATGGCTCAATCTGAAACTTCAGTTGATAATGTGTTAGCTCCTGAAGCTATCTTGTCAATTATTGACAAAAATATAAAATCACCAGAAGAGGGGGAAGGTTCTATTACAGTACTTGGTTCAAGTCAAGATGCTTTGGCAGCATTATTTCATTCAATTATGCAAGCCGTAGGTTTTCGACTAGTTGGGCTTGGCGAGGAAGACAGCTTGGAAGGTTTTTATTATATAAAGATTATTTTTATTTATTATTATTTTTTATTTTATTTTTATTAACTAAAAAAATTTTTTTTTTTTAGAAGCGGAACGTAAAATTACAAGGGATTCCGAAGGCAATATTATTAAATTACCGAAAGAGTGGAATGAGCAAGGTCCAAATTCATATGCTTTTCGATATAAACACCCACAATCATCATTAACATTTTTGATCAAATGCATGCGATTATCTAATAAGTTTATAATTCACGGTATGGGAATTGAGGTAAAGTAAAAAAAAAGCAAAATTATTCCTGTACTTTTTTGATCGATCAAAATAAATTTTTCATGAATCCAAATCATTGTATTAATTTATATAGGATAATAAGACTACAACGTTGGAAATAATCACGGATGATTATACTTCTCCATCATTTTTCCCATACACATCCGAAAAGTATCATGTAGATCCTATGATTCACGGGTATATATCAACAAGTCGTGTCAAAGATCTGATCAACCTTTATAAAATAAACATTGTGCAAAAATTAATTCCAGGGTTAAATAAACCTGGATATGAAGAAACCGGTACAACGTATGTATAAAATAATAATATTATTATTTGATTGTTACGAACTTGAATATTAAAATATTATGTTAATAGATCGGCGACCACTTCTACTCCTCGCCAACAAGAACCTTATAATGATCCCTTACGCATTCCAACACGCCAACCACCACGCTTTCAACCACCGAACTTTGATGAACCATATGGTGGTGATGAACCATTAAGATCAAGGTATATTAATATCACTAATTATATAGTTGACAAATTCTTTAATCCAATGTTTTTGTATTTTCCTATAGTTTCAATCCTTTCAATGTTGGTCAAGATGATTTAGATCCACTTGGTGTGAATCCAATTTATGGGCCACCAAGGTAGTTAGAGTTATATTGCAAATTGTCATTAAAATGAAATTTTAATATCATATCTCAACTTATTCATTAATATTTAGATTTGGCGGTGGTGGATTTCAACCCTTAGGAGGTGGAGTGGGTGGTGGGATGTATGCAGGGCCAGATCATCCTATATTTGGGCAACGAGTTCCTCCTGGTGGCCGTGGAGGACCGCAACCCATCCCAAGGTATAAGCATATTTTATTAATTGGAAATTTATTCTAAATTTACTAATAATGTATATATCATAGAGGATCCGTTCCACCTGGTGCTAGGTTTGATCCAATTGTACCATTTGGACCTGGGAGTTCTCGTCCAGGTCGACCGCGAGGAGATCCGTTTAGGTAAATCTCGTCAAATAAATCATTTTACTTCTATTATAGATAGATATATTGAAATAATAAATTATAAATATATATATTTTTTGCCAAATATGAAATCAGTGGTGAACCTGATAATGATGAGCTTCCTCCTCCGGTAAATTTAAAAATTTAATAATCTTTTTAATTTTTGTAATTATATATATATTTTATATTTTTGATCTAATTATTTTTTCTTCATAATTCTAGGGATACAATGATATGTTTATGTAAAGTAGTTGGTATATCGCCAATATTCATTCACATTATATTATAACAACGACCTGTATATTTGTATATTTAACGATTTGAAATTCTAAAAATTATAAAACATATTCCATTTTATTGATCGCATTTTATTACAAACTGTCCTCAATCAATTTCAATCAATTTTCATTGGTGTTAGTTAATGTCTTTATATTAAATAAAGTGAAGAACTTTTCTAAACAGTGTACGTGTAAAATATTTAAACCATCCCATCAGAATAGTAGTTACTTCAACACAACAAAAAATTTTAGTAACTTTTGAAACAAACAAATATATTTTAAATATATGCATACCCCAAGTAAAAGAATCTATTAGATCTACTTTTTGACACGTTCTAATTCTACCTTAACTTCATCCAATTCTTTGGTAGTTTTTTCCAATTTATCCTTATATATAACCAGTTGTTCTTGCACTTTTTTCGTAGCCTCTTCAATCTTCCGTATCTCATCTATTTCAGCTTGTACACCTAAATTCAATTCGTATAAGATGTAAATAGTTCTATTTAAAAATTAAAAAAAGGTAAAATAATAAAAAAGGTAAAAGAACACAAAACTGTATGGATTATTAGGCGTAGATCGAGGTTGCAATCCTGTAGAAGGATTTTGTAAAAATATTTGATAAAGATATTCCGTGGGATCTGTGAATACCTAATAATATTTAATAATTATTTTAATAAATATTAATAATGATGATAATAAAGTATAAATAAATAAATAAATATATATATAAAATATCATCCTTGCCAACTCATCGTATTGGAAGCTCTGCACTGGTTTGTTCTTGTTAGCCGTAGATATAGATCCATCTTCTTCATATGGATGTAACCTTAGGTTATGATACAACATCACTGGTTTTTCACCACTTTCCGGAACGAATTGTAATTTTATCGTTAATTCAAACTCTCCCCATCCCGTTTCGGTGAGTTCGAACGGTGGATGTTCAACCACTATCAAATCAAAATTAATTAGATTTTTTTTTTTTTAGACGAATTGAATTAAAAAAAAGGTAGTTGATGCATTTTAAGCCTTACCTCGTTGAGGATTCGCGTAAGTTTCATGTAATTTGAAGGTCACCTTCTTTACAAAACTACTTATATCTTCATTATTTAAACCTTTAACCGACACTGTCCATTTGTGCGTATGGTCAGAGTCGGGAATCTTCTTTTGCGGTAATAATGTTGCGATATTACCATATACTATTGGTCTTATTACCGTTACTCCCTATTATTTTTTAAACAAGTAAAGCTAAATGGGCAAATAAAAAAAAAAGAGAGAAAGTTTTCGTTCATGTATACGAGGAACTAAATCTTGAGTACCTTTGTTCTTTTGTTTGACATAGTTACAAATAGTACCCGTCAATAAAAAATAGTTGCTTAAATATATGGTTACATAATGTATCGTGTAACATTACTATAAAAAGCAAGAATATTTTATACTTGAAAAACATTTTTTTGTCCAAATTAATGATCTTTATCAATAAAAATTTATTCAAAAAAAAAAAATCTTTTTTTTATAAATGTCAACAATAAAAACATGAAGTAAAAAAGTGAAAAATTACAAAAATGATAGATTTAAAAAAGTTAAAGGGGAATGGGGGGAATATTTATTTTATAGGGGAAAAATTTTTTTTTTTTTTTTTTAATATAATAAGTAATGAATTGTCTTTTTTAAAACAAATAAAATTATTAAAATTATTATTTTCCATAAGATCAGAAAATAATAGTCATCTCTTTTATAAAATAAGTAAAGTTGTCTATGTATTTAAAATATGTTAAACTACAAAAGTACATTGAAAAAAAGCAGAATGGTGTATAATATAAAGTGAAACACCAAACTTTCTAATAAAAAAATAAAATAAAAAAATAAAAAAAACTACAATAAGAAAGAAAAAAGCAAAAATAAGAAAAAATTTTCATTGCAAACGAATAAAGTCATAACATTATTAAAAAAAAACATTAATACTAAAGATAACAGATAAGCCGCTTTCAAATTCCAAAAAGTTTAATAAACTCTTATAGCTAGTGTCATTTGCATTATTTTATTACAAATAACATTAACTATGATGTGATCGATTGGAAAGTAGGTGCATGTACGTCGAATAGCCCGGACTTTCTTTGCTCAAAATTGTTCGTCACATCATCATCTGGTACACCGTATGGAATAGCAGATGCATGTAGTCGAGACGGACGATAAGCAAAGTTCTGAGATGGATCTGGTCCTCTCGGTTGTCTAATCGGAAACACAATTGGAGTTCCGTCATTGCTAAGGTTTAAACTATACATTAAGATATTAAGATTAGATTTGCAATTATTAAAACTCAATAGAATATAAATAATAAATTGTTAACTTACAGCCAAGATTTTCTGAATGGTGAACGCGACAGCGGAGAATGATCACCTCTTGCGGATCTATTTGAGGGACTCTCTGATAAACCTGTACTTGCCAATAATTGCGCGGCCGAACGTCTACCCAACGAACCATTTCTAGAAGGTGTTTGCTAGATGGAAAAAAAAAATTGTAATTCGTTTGTCAAACCTCTAATAATAGATAAATTCATTGAAAAATTATAATTGAAAATAATGTGTAAAAAAGAGACCTTTATGTTGATAGCGGCAGATGCTGGTTTTCGCACAATTTTCAGTACTCTTTCTTCGCCATCACCCTCGCTGTAATGGTACAATTGAAGCTTTTGAGCAATTAAATGTAATGTACGGCGATGGGCGCTCGTAATAGTCTTCGGAAATACCAATTCCTCACGAGTTTTATCATCACGGAAGATAATCACTTGATCATAGAATTTTAATGTTTCTGGATCATTAAGATCGAGTTGTTCCGGTGCTACATTTTAATAAAAAAATATATATATATATATAAATATAAATAAATATATATATCCTATATATACGCTATTATAATATTGGACTTTGATAATCAATTATTTACCGGGACTTTTCACCATGGAATCTCTCTTGTCCCTGTCATGTTTTCCATTTTCGCTTCTGTCTATTTTTTGCTTATCGAGCAAATCATTGTCAGGTTTAAGTAACATCGGTTCTTGATCATATTTGTCCTTATCAACCTTTTGTTTTTCCAACTTTTCTCTTTCTTTCGCCTCCCTTTCTGCAGCTGGCAAAACACGCTTATATTCAACTCTAAGTTTTCTACCAGAAACCTCATAACCATTTAATGCGGACACAACAAGATCTGTTTCTTCTGGAGTTCTGTAATTAGCAAAAGCCAACCCTCTAAAAACACCATTATCGAAATGGTAATTGAACGCATATGGTCTTGGTATATCGAGGTTATTCTGATTAAATATAAATATGAACGTGAAGGTTTTAAGTAAAGAATTTTTATTGGATCGGAAAATTGACGAATTTGTTCAGGAATGAAATGAATGATGAAATTAATAAATAATTAAATTGTAAATCAAAAGATATTTTTTTAACAACTTACAAGAGTAGCTAGCAGCGCATCACGTTTTATGGAGAATGGAATATTTTTTATTACGATGGCAGTTGGGATCGTTTCCTGAGCTCCAACACTGGCTTCACTATCGCTTTGAGCAGCAGAATTGGTGGTTTTCTCATACCAAAGCTAAAATAAAAGGAAAAAAAAAAAATATATAAGAACATATAAAAAAAAATTTAAGTAAAAAATCATTATTGAGGAAAAACAAGAATGATCTCTAAAAATAATCATCCAGATGTTAATCCAGATTTTTCATATATATAATATTATATATGAGAAAGATTTTACGACTGATTAAAAAACAATAGCTCACCTTTGACCGTCGTTTCTCTTTTCTCCTTTGACTATCGGTTTGTCCCTTTTTGAGTTTAAAAGAGTTTGACCTAGAAATTGCAGTATCAGAATCGACGGAATTATCCTCAAAAGTATCATCGAAGGAAAGTTCGATATCGTCTCCCATTTTGTGTTTATATGTATGTTTGTTATCACACAAAAAGGTATTAATGATTATATAAGAGATGTGAAAATTTTAAAAGAAAATATGTTTATATAGGACAAGAGACAAATATATATATATATATATTTATTTAGTAGAAAAATATTCTAGAAAGAGATGAAAATAACAAGTTTGAAAAACACGAATAATAAATAAACGATTGTCTTCAAACACTTTCAAGTCTATGTATGAATGAAAAAAAAATGACGGACTGATTTTTTTTCTTTATTTAAAAAAAAAATTTGGAAATGCAAAGTTTATTTGAAAAAAAAAATAATAAAAAGGATGAGTTTAGTTTTTTTTTAATGAAGAAAAAAAAAAGATAAAAAATAAAAGTAATAAATAATAAAATTAAGATAAAATAAGGCTCGAAAAACCCAGAATGCAAAGCGGAAACAAGAGCGTGAAGTGTCAAAACGTTACCACTTCACCCCTGAAAGCACGCTCAACTTCGCAACGAGAAAAACAAGTCTCTTACAAAAAAAAAAGGAACTTTTTATGCAAAGTTGAGCAAAGTTCTTAATACATTAACTGTTACATCCAGTCACCTTAATCAAATACCCTTTCTTTAATACTAATCTTACCTTACCTGTAACCACAAAAAAAAATTTTTTTTTGATCCAAAAATTATTGTGTGACGTCATGCATTAATCTTTTAAGTAGAGAAGTTCAAGCGAATTTCATACCCAGCCCAGATTTCTTTATTCATAATCTTTTTATTTGGAAGTCAAATGACTATACTATAAAAAAATATTTTGCATTTTACATTATGCATGAAGAAGCTTTTTTTTCTTTCAAAATTCATTGCTTAGTAAACTTTATAAGATGATAAACAATGAATTATTAAGTGTCATAATTGGATAATGGTACAATATTTATATGTTGTTCAATATTGTTATATGAAAAAAAAATTTTTTTTTTATTAATGGTGCGTGGAGAGATCATATCAATCGGGCAAGTACGATTCTTGCGCCTTTTTCTTTTTGCAAGAATAAAATGCGGCTTTTATAAACCTCGAAAGAAAATAAAATTTGAAAATCGAAACGTATATATGAAGGTATATAATTAATACGTTGTTAGATTACGAACAATTATAGAAATGGCATGTGCACAAATGAGAAATTCACGCGGATCATTCTTTTTTCTTTTTATTATCTACCACTTTTTTTCTTTCACTTGTAAAGTTAAAACAATTCTTGGTCATTAAATTTGGACACGGTTGTTCATCACATATTGTTAATAATCTTATATGAGTGGATTGTTGACTTGCATGTAAAATGCGTGTGTATGTAAAATTTTAAGATGATTTTAACAAAAAAAATTTTTTTTAAACAGGAATTTATACAAGTTATCCTTTCATTTCACTCCTGTTTAATCATTTATTATACAAACTTGTTTAAATAAATTTATATTATTGAGGAAACAAGTTTTTTTTTTCCAAAAAAAAAGTTCACAACGGTGTGACATTACTTTTTTTTAATACTTAATAACCAAGAGATTTTTTTTTAATTAATCAACACATGCAGTATTATTTGTTATTTTAAACACATAAAAAAAAATAAATAAAATAAATATTTGTATTTTAAAATGAAAGAATGTTCGAATGATGATTCCCTGGAATAGTCTATATTAGGACTTAAGTTGATTTGTATCAAACGATAAATTTTTGGTTCGTAAAATAATGCTATCAGCACAAATATGGGATTGTCTTATTTTAGTGGATAAAACCGATTGTTATAAAATAAACCAGAAACATGCACAGCAAAATATGTATGTCGCGGAAGACACCGATATACAGTGATTCTTCTCTGGAAAAAAATGGAAAGTCACATCAAATTTCATCAATTCCCACACCCTTAATTATATAATATTTTTTTGGTATAATCATGTGATGATTAATTTAATTAATTGTTTACGATGGATTGTTAATATGCGATGTGAAGTACCCCAGTTTTGTAATTGGAGTAAAACCCAGGTACTTAATTAAGATTCAAAGAGTTTGGCCAAAATAGAGCTTCGTGCGCAGATTATATTGTGCGTGCGTCAGTCAATTGAGGTTTATTGTATTTAGAAAATACTTCATATAATTTCAGTCCCAAATTATATCATATCATTGTTATATGTAATATAATTGATAATAGGTTTGTACGCGTAAAAAAGCATTCAAATTTTTTTTCTTTAAATAAAAAAATTTCCCGAAATTAACGAAATTACATCTCATAAATTTAATAAAAAAGAAAAATGTACCCATTTTATTACAAAATAAACAATCATTTGCACAAATATTCGGATTTAAGCTATACAATCTATTTGAACAAAATAACATACATGCAATAATAATATCTATTTTTTTAAAAATGAATAATTATTTTTGGAGATTCCATTTCACCAACATCTTCAATATAATTATATAAATTATTTATCGAATTGGCCAATACTGAATTAATAGTAACATTTCTTTCACGTAAATTGTTTTTGTTAACATTATTAACATTATTATTATTTTTTTTATACGATTGAAATATAAATGGAGAAGTTGGAGTATTTGGAGGAGCCGTAATTGGTGTTGAGGTAGGTGAAATGGGAATTAATGTAGGAGATAATAGACTATTAATTTTAACGGCTGAATAAGATGATGTAGTAATTGGTGAGATTGGAGCATTTGGTGTGTTTGGAGGAACTAATGGAGTAAAAAATGATGGGGTCGCTGGTGAATTCGGAGGAGCGATATTATTAAAAGGTGAGTTGGGAGTATTTGGAAGTAAGATAGGGTGAAATGATGGATTTGGCGTATTTGGGGGTGCGACGGGGTGAACTGATGAATTTGGCGTATTTGGAGGGACAGATAATCCAGCGGTTAAAGGTATATCCTCAAATATATCATCTCTTCCCAATGTATTCTTTTCATTGATAGACGAAGGGGAAGATGAGAAAGTGAATTTTATATTATTACCGATTTTTGGGGTACGACGTTGAAAAGTTGGAGAAAAGGGGATGTTTGGATTAATACAAAAATAAGCCGAACCCAATGGGGTAGGAGGTTCCGCGAGATCAAGAGGAGAAGGTTTTTGTTTTTGGGAACGATGAGCTGTTGTAACGTTATCATCAATTAAGAAAATTTCTTCCCATTCATTTTCACGTCCTTTATTGACAATCCTGGGATCAGCAACAAATCTTTCCGAAAAGGTTTCTTTGGAAGGAACCTTTCCTCTAAAGAAACTTGATAAAATTAATTTCTCCTCAAATTCATTGACAGATTCGGCCAACCTTTTAACGAATCTAGCAGGAATAACTCCTTCAACAAATGATTCATTCTTCAAAATTTCAATATTCCTTTCTTTCTCATTTAAACCGAAATAATACCAAACCAAAATTTCATCAATTACGCTACAATAAGGTTCAAATAAATCCAATAAAGTGATGAAATTTAATAAACTAAAAAAATCAGAAGTTGATTGAATATTTGAAGCCAAAGTAGAAGCTAAGATATCATCCGCTTTGATTTCAGTATTATTAAATAACCACTGTAACAAATCACCAATTATTCCAATAGAAATATTTGGAAGTTCAATACATAACATTGGTAACCCATTAGCTTCTTGTGCCAAATCTTCTAATGAAGGACTGCTGGCAAATCCATTAGAATTCGCTAATTGATCTTCTTCTAAAGAAGTTTGAGAAGCGTAATGATTATATTGCGTTGATAAATCATAAAATAAAGCCGATCTTTGCATCAGATTATTTGATTGTTGTACATTAATTTCATATTTTAATTTTGTATTTGCATTTGTTGAAATATGCAATGTGAAGAGGGGTGTCGTGGGTAAAAGTGATGACGGTGACAAGATTTGTGAAATATTTGAATTTCGTTCCTTGTTAATCACTTCTAACGGAAGAGCTTTAATGCTAAGTGATGAGGTTCCAACTGGCATTTTGCAATCAATTAAATTAAAAAGGGTAAATTAAAGGACAAATTGAAGGGAAATTAGATGCAGTAAAAGGAAAAAATTTACAAATGTAACAATTTTTACAAGTGAAAAAGTGGAACAAAAGGTCTACTTTTGTATGAAGAAAAGAGCAAGAGAGCAAGAGAAAAAGAAAAATACTATATATTATTCCTTGTTATATTATACTGCTTTTTTTTTTTCAAAAAAAAAATAAAAATGTCTTATGAAAGAAGAATAATCAATATTCCCTTCAATATTTTATTTATAATAATAAAATTTATTTGATAGATCAAAATTTTTTAAATTTTGATAAAGGAATCTTTGACAGTACTTTTTACCCTCGATATTTATGTTATTTTTTCACTGGTACACGCTTATTTATAATTTGCGTTTCATATTAAGAATTTCTTGTATTCGAAAAATGTAAATCAATATAAAATTATGCAATATTTTCATTGTTTATAATTTTAATTGTTTGATTTCGTACTTTGGTAATACATTTGTTATTATTTTCTGGTGATCTACAAAGTGATACAATATAGCGATTTAGTGGTTCTGGTTAAATTTTCGAACAACGCTATTGGCCAATCAGCCAATAGGAAGTTTTGCTCAAAACTTTTTGACTAAATAAAGTTACATGTTCCCGGTTTTGTGTTTCTTTTTTGTATAAACTTTTGTCTACGAAACATTTAGAAATGCATCCTTAATATAGCTCACAATAGAAATGGGGAATGCTTGCATATAATAGTAATAGCAATATAGCGCAAGTGTTCAAATGACCAAGAAGCATACTTTGTTCTGCGGATCTATAATAGTTATTGGTGGTTACTATTTTAAGAAATATCTTTTTTTTTCCTCCTGCATTTTGAAATATCGGAGTAATTGTTTACATTGTGAAGATCGAATTAATAAGTTTGTTGTTTTTTTTTTTGGATAATAACAAGGAAATTAAGGTTTACGTTCAAAAATGGAGTGATCAATCCCATTGTGTCGCCGAAAGAAAAAATGTAACCTATGATGACATATTTTGATATTTATACGTGAAAAATAATAAGGAATTTTAACAAAGTTCCTGATCAAAAAAAATATATTTTTTCGTTGCCATTTTAGAGGTTAATTTAATTTCTTTTGCATTTTTGAACAAAATATTTACTGAATATAATAATAATGTTTGCCGAAATCATTAATTCGTACAAAAAATAAATAAATAATAGTTTAATGATCGTGATTCTTCATTTAAGGTGCACGACATATAATAATATTGAATGAAGGTCATCATTGTAAGGTAATTTTCATTTGTCAATAAAATGTACTATCGAATTTATTTTATCTCTTTCGCTTATGTAAATTATTATTTTTTTTCCTATTTATATATGCTATTATTTTTGATCATCAAACTTTTGTTTTGGAGAATTATGTTCAGAAATATATTACTTTTTTACAGGCAATTTTGTAAATTAATTACCGAGTTTAGAATTCCTATTCAAAATGATATAATCATATATTGCTAATTTGTTTATTAAAATTTATTAAATGATTTTGAAGTGTAACGTTTAATTTTAATAGTGAAAAAAGAAATTCGAAAAAGGCAAATTGCCTGATAAGTCCACAAACGTATATGTGACTTTTTTGGGGGGGAAAAAAATTACTATATATATAAAAATATACAAACCAGTGTATCACATGATGATTTACATCGGCAATTTATTAATTACCATAAGAATTTATAATTTTCATATCAAAATGGCTGCTATCGAAAATAAAGCAAATCAATTAAACGTTGCACTTGAAAAATTAAATAAGGCGGAAGAAAAGTTGAATGAGGCAGGAGAAAAGTTGAAAAGGTTAGACGAAGTGAAGGCTTTGATGAGGAAGTTGAATAGTAAAATAAGACGTGCAAAAGATGCAGAAGAAAAGGAAAAGTTGGAGGGGGATAAAAAAGATTTAGAAGATGAAAGAGACGATTTAGAGAAGGAAACAGAAGAGTTGAAAAAGGACAAAAACGATTGGAAGGAAGTGGTGACAAAATTATTGGTAGAATTTGGTAAAGGAGAAGGTAATGAACAAATTATGTAAAAAAATATACAAAATATCATTTTTCGCTCATTCCATTTTGTTTATTTATTTATTTGTTCATGAGAAATTTGATATATTGTTTGCAACATTGACTAATTTGTGCTTTTTTTGTAATTATAGGTGATGATCTAAAGGAAGAGAAACCTGAGAATAGAAAGTTATATAAGGATTCAGGTTTGTCTTCAATGACATTTTGTTTCTTTAACCCTGCTCATTGTTGATACTAACTGATATTTTATACAGATCTGAATCGTGCTTTCCAAATTGATTTCAAAGACCATGCCAATTAT